AAAGGAGTGTGGTCTGGCTGCTCTGACTTCTAATCTCTGTGACACATCACAACCTCCAGCCTTCCTCCCCCTTCTCCCACACACAAACACAAACTCCATCCCTGTCTCTCCCCCCCACTTGCAGGAGTTTGCTGTCGGCCCCACACTGTGACAGCAGCATGTGTCAGCCAGCACAGTTGCCTCTCAGTCTACTATACCAACACATGATTAAGACCTTGTAGAGAACATGAGAAAGATATATTCCACACAGGCCACGGGATTCACTACACAGCAAAGGCTTTTAGACAGCGAATTTGAAGCATATACTTGTTGGTATTTACTGTGTTCCCACCGGGGTAAAACTACATTGAAAGTGCTGAGCTTTTTCTTCCTATTTAAGGAACATGCACATGTAGGTCAGAAAGCAGAAAAAAACACAAGAATGATGATGCATCAGTGGAGATTTAACGTCAAGCGCCACCTGCCCAGGTGAAATTCTGGCATCGATCTGGATTTCAAAATTTACAAGACAAAACAAACCTTGATTATTTGAGCCATTTGTAAATAAATACTGTCATACCAAAGTCGCATTTTGTGGTAATGCAACAAGCAGGCACATCAGGCTCAACATCAAAAGAAAGAAGGATGGCAAAAGGAGGCAACCTGTTACTTTACATGCCTGAGAAAGCACACTGTGATTCACAGTAGCCATTTTGACGTGAAATAGTAGGTTAAATGCAGGCGTTACCTATGATATTAATTAAGGTTTTGTTCCATTCAGGTCAAACATAAGGTGCTGCTATTATGCATGCTGTCTCACTGGGAAGACTGTGCTACATTAAATAGAGCAGAACCTTCATTTGTATCACAAAGGTCCATTAGTAAGTTTCAGTGATGATTTTGACCACATTAATATAGTCAAATGCAGCAGAGTCATGGGAACTTTGTGTGGCTTTTTTAATTATTTATTAGACCAGTGACAGCTGGAAGGATGGACAGGAAAGGCCCCATGTAGCAAAGGGCCTGGGTTGGAATCGAAACCGGGCCTCACACTGTCCGCTGTCATGTTTTTAAATCAATCAGTCTTCTCCGATTCCCACTGTTAGCTCTGTAGTTTGTGGTCATTTTGAGCCTTGGTTTGTAAAGTGTACAGCCTGCATTGCTGTTACTCCTGTGTACAGTGACACAGCAAAAAAAAAAACAAATGTGCAGAGATTCAACTGACAAAATGTGAGTTGACTTAGGCGCAGCTCTAAAATATATACAATTAAATAAATGAAGGAACACCGTCTTTGTTGTTCAGCTCATGATACCATCATGGACAGCATTAACTGTTAAAGGTGAAAAAATTAACCAGAATATACAAAAACAAATCCTAATACGTTAAAGAACTGGAATACTTAAAATGGTTATGCACATTGAGCTTTGAGTATTGTATCAGCAGCTCTCTGTAGATTCTACTCCCTAATACTTACCCTAACTTAACATTGTCCAGATCATAATTAAAGCACACGATCTGATGGAAAAAAGTATCACACATGAAAACATTCTAAGAGGAAGGTTTTTAATTTTCTTCAGTAAAATAAAGGCAAGGGTAAATCTCTCTCTAATACAATGAGCCTAAAGAGCAACGGCAAACTGCATTCTCCATAGAAACCTACAACAATATGCCAATGGTTAGCCTTATGGGTGGCTGGGGTGGCGGATGGGGGTTGTCTATTGTCAACGGGCTGCTTGAATGAACTGAGTATTATGGGGAGAGACTGCAAATCAAGTACTAAGCCCTCCCTCAAAGCCGACCCCACTGTCTGTCGAAAATCCACAGAGAAGCAACCTACAAGGAGAATGACAGGGAAGGCAGAGTTTCCCACTGAGGCACAGAGAGGGAAACAGAAGCAGAAACCAAGGAAGGGGGGAGGAGGACTTGGGCCTGTCTGTGAACCAAAAAAAGAGCGGGAAACACAGGAGTGTGAGAAAGAAGGGGGTATGAAAGAGAGAGAGAGACTGGCTGGAGAACATAAGTAAGACATCAATGGGACAAATAACAGAAACCCCCAGTGAAACAAGTACCCTTCCTCGAAAGTGTAGCGTTAGGGCTGGCTTTCATACCAAGCTGAGTCATCTCCAGCCAACTCAAATCCCACCTGGTTATAATGCATAGTGCGACAGGTGGATGTTAGGGGAAGACCCCCTGCTGTACTCTATCTGCCATCTCATTGTCTTCCAGTAAGCGGCATCTCTCATTATGAAAGAAAGTTTATGTGTGCAGTTGTTGTCGTCGCCCCCCTGAAACAGGTTTCTACGATGATAAGAAAAACCTACGCTCTTCGACGGTCACAGGTTATCCATCCATACTGCTAACAATGTAATATGTAAAGCTAACCGGCTGCTGGCTGAAACTTAATACTTAATGAACATCATCTACCTAATTCCTTTAATTGCTGGCAGGCCACTGAAATCTGTATGACTTACCAATAACTGCATTCAGTATATAAATCAAAAATCATATGTACGGAAATATATATATCTCTCAATTTTAAAGTTATGTTTAAACCTACTACAAGGAGTTTTTAACTGGTTATTAAACAGTCTCATCTAATTTTGATGCCTCTGTATGACCTGCAAAACCATCAACAAGAAGACTGGCTATTTCCCCTTGAAAACAATGAAACAAGGCGGTGGAAACACCACAGTTTTTGTCCACATGGGGCGCCAGAACCAACCAAAAAATAAAAGTTTGTTGTGGCTGCTTTAACTCTGAGACCTCTAGTAACGTTAACATGGGTCAGCCCATAGCTTTGCAACTCAGCCATAATGTAACATCACATCAATATGAAGTGACAAGCAGTCTGTGGGCATACCTCAGGGTTAACACATCAAAATGGATTTGATTTGCTCAGGGCTCAAAAGCCTTGCACTCATAATATCCCTAGTGCTAAGCTCTCCAGAGCCATGGTTTCCATGCCACACGCTGCTGCTTAGACTACTACCAGGGAAAAGAGTGAGTCGGTTTCTAAGCTCACTCTCCAGGCCACTGACTGACTGATGGAGGGCCCCCTTTTAATCATTCACCCAGGCATAGCACTCACTGGTTGGCCTGTGGTGTTTGGTGATATGTGATTGTGAACCAACATCAACACACAATATCAAGACCCTGCAGCGACCTACATGGACAGGCCACAAAATGATACCGTATAACATGCCTCAGTCCGACTATAAACGCATTAATGTCTTTCAAAGTAAAACCATCAACCGCGCTCCTTAACACACTTATTGTAAGGCTGGCTAGACGTATATTCTGTATGCAACTGCATTTGATGTGCTCTCAGACTGCTGTGGAATACAGTGCTGCAAACACACACCAATACACTCACAGTGAGTCCCAAGGTCCGTTCTTTATGGTCAATGCTGTTTTAGGAGCATGAGACGGTTAGGGTGGAAGCGGACACAACTCAAATTCATCAAGAGAAGAAGTAAACAAAGAATTATCACAAAATTAGAATACTATAGGAGTAAAAATGAAAATGATTGGCCGAACCTAATCACATAATATTGTTGAACAATTGCAGTCAGCGCATTAGGGGATCAGCCAACAACCCTATGCCAACATTTGGAGTTTAAGAAATCCTTTTCACACTTCACTCTCACAGAATCTGCTGCTTCTGTTTGGTCACAAACTTGTTTTTCTTTTTACCTTTGAGAACTCACCAAATGTAAAGTAGTTCAGAGTATACTGTCCGCTTAACTCGCACACCTGCACCAACAGTCACACATAACTGTTTTAGTCTGTTTGACATTACCGTAGGTGCTTGGTTACTGGGAAAATACCTTGTGTTCCCTTATGCTACAGACGCTGGGAAGTGTCCCAACTGAGAGGAGCAGAGAGGCTAATGAGACAGTAGGCAGCAGGGAGGGATCTCCTCTCGAGGAGGGGTTGGGGGGGGGGGTTAAGAGCCAACCGCTGTATCGTGTGTCACTGGCTGATCAAGAGTACCTGCCTGGCGTTCAGTTTATGGTCACATAAGTGGAAAGCTTCCGTTACAGCTGAGACAAAGCCAGGCGGTCCGCACTGTTTAACTGCCACAATGACCAAGAAAGAAGCAGTTTACTGGCCATGGCCTGGGTTGACAATGTGAATCACCTGGATTAGACAGCCATTTCCAAGGTTTTATGAGGTTACTGCAGCAGTTGAACATGTTCAGTGACCACCGTTTGTAATTTTTAAACTCATGCTGTTGTGTAGTTAAGAAAAACAAATATGCAAGAGTAACTTTACAGGATAAACTTACAGCTAAACTTACAGCTAATCAATGTTAATGCTCTTAAAGACAAACACTGCCTACCTACTCACAATTAAGGAATTAGAATACAGCATTGACTAAATGTTCAAATCATAGCATGGCAAAACACGGTTCAAATCTCTGCCGACTGTGTATGCTGTGGGACAAGGCTCCTGCTATATATATGTAGGTCAGTCTGGGTTCAGTGGGTGACCAAGACCTGGGGGGGGGGCTTCTCAGGACAGTGTCACAAGCTCTGGAGAGCGGAGCTGAAAAACATTGTCGTATTCTGCACCATGACCCACTAATACCACATAATAAAGTTAACAGTGTGTGTGTGTGTGTGTGTGTGTATAAAGTTAACAGTGTGGTGTGGGGGGGGTCATCCTGATAAAGCATAGGGGGAATACCAGGCTTAACCTCAGCATCTGTTTAATGAAACCCACACAGCTGGCGTGTGATGAGTTTACAGTGACTGAGACAGAACTTGAAGGATGACAAATATTTTACTTCAGGCCAGTCTCACATGACGGGTGTGTTATTTAATGGAAACCACCACAACTGTGACTCATGCTTAGACACAATTAACTGGTAACAGTGTTAAACACCTTCAAGGCTTCACCCAGGGACGCTGAAACAACCCCAATCACCCCCCCCCAAGAGATGCAACCAACCACTGACACATGTTACTGTAAAATTGTCAACAACTTGAGTGAAGAGTCGTGTGGTGGAATATTTTACCTGTAGTTCCGATTTCCATTCATGAGGTCTCTGCCCGGTTCACTTCCCGGAACGTAGTAGTCAATAGGTTTAGGACTCTTCCTCCGTTCAATCCGGTGTCTCCTTCGGCAGTGCACCGCCTCTGCAGCGCTGAATGGCCGAGCACCCTGGTCTCCGCTAGCTCCTCTCCCCCCCCACCACCACCCCCCGCTGACTGTCAAAAAAAAAAAAAGGGGGCCTTTCGGTACGGCTTTATTCGCCGGCCGGGGGTCTCCGGCGTCCCCCCCCGCACACGGTCAACGTATCCAATCGGATTTCACTGCCACGGTGAAAGCGACTGGTTGCTCACGGCGAACCCTGTGGCAGTGGAAACCTGCTAGTTAGCCAAGTTACCCCGCTAGCCAGGCTTTGGAAAGTGGCCGGAAAGGAGGAGAGGAGCTGTCAGGATATCATCACAGCGGGGTCACGGAGTCCAAATGAATGCCTACCGATGGCTGAGCATGAACAGAGACGACATAAATTCGTATCTACGGCACGGCGAGGGTCGGGGTAGCTACAGTAATTAGCTAGCTGCTAGCTCGGCTGCTGGATACTTGGAATTCTGACAGACGACGGTTGACGTTACTTTTATCGCGTTAAAAACAGCCGTTGACGCGGCCCCGTTTCCTAAGCAACGTATCCCAACGACGTCGTCTCCTGTAGTTTCTAACCCGGTCCGAAAATAAAGCTGTCAACACCGGACAGTGTCCGCCGATAAGTGTCAGGGATTTTCAGTCTGGTTGACAGATCAACTCTGCGGGGCTTCGGCAAGCCAGCTAAATATGGTGAAGTTGCCTTTCTGACACCGACAGGAAGAGGTGGGCACCGTGTCACCAGACGTCAGAAGAACCAACTCCGCCTTCACCCAAAGGTAACCCTACGTTTTTAACAACACTATGAACACGTTAATGGATAAAATATGTTTTTGTTTTTTATTATTATTATTATTTAAACCGTGCATTTTGATATGAATAACTGGCTGCATTTGTGTGAAGACTGCACGTTTTGTAGTATAAAATGTTATTTTCTTAACTTTATCATTATAGTCTTTGAGACAATAAACTAATATCCAATCCAAGTGAACATACATACAGTATTAAAATGTTAATAATATTTAAAAAAAAAAAAACACACACACACAACAGGCGTAATAAAAAACAATTTTATTTTCTTTAAAAAATAACCCGCCCCAACAGAGTTCCCATACTATCACATACAGAGCCAAAATAATATGCTTCCATGTCCTTTCATTCAAATCTATTGGGAAGTGCTATGACAAGGACTGTTCTTGATCAGTGGCTTCAATATTGCTTAGTCAGACAGTGAGGCTGTGTGGAGAGGAGTGGACTCTCCGGGGTCCACATGATGCATTTTCCAGGGTGACTGCCATTTCGTCTCCCCCCATTTGCAAGGTGCTTTTGTGGCTTCAGTGAGTGAAGAACTGCATCTGGTTTCAGTGGTGCTGGGAAATGCCCCCAAACTGATTTTTTTTTATTTTTTTTGTAGTTTTTCCTTTTTAAAGCACAGAATAAGGGAAAGAACACTGACCCCAACTGTGAAAGGCCCGGCAACTGGTGAGCCAAAATACATAACAGGTTAATATTATATATTTATATATACAAATCACCTTGGACACAATGAAGGATCAGTAAAACGGTGTACAAAGGCATATTGATTATGCAAGTTAATAAACATGATTTAAAAATCAAACTCATCTGATCTCTTATCTTTTGATCCCTTTCAGCTCAAAGGGGCTCTGACCATCAGACAAGATTTGAGGCGCTTAAAGGGCAACTGAGGTGGAATTTTGAGACAGTCTCCACAGTGCCCTCTGGAGGATACACTCTGACACTAGTCACAATATTCATAATAATAATAATGACAAAGGAAAAAGCAGTCTTTATAACCATTACACAATCGAGGCCAAACGACTGACAGGCAGTGGCGAGCGCGAGGCTCCTACCGCTAAGGAAACCAAAATAAGGTGGCTCAGAATATCCAGTCATAAAAAATAATAACATGCATTATTTTTTTTTTTCATAAATCCAGAAAGTGACTAAATGTAAAAAGGCAGGACATATTAAGTAGTAGTAATAGTGGCCCACCCTGTCCAATGTAGCAATCCCCTATCTGTGCCGCCCATGCACACAGAGCACCAATGGGGATTGGCTAACACAAGCTAGGGGATTGGGGCAGCGGACGCTGCAGGTGTTTCATGTTAAAAATGAGAATAGACAGCCAGGATAGAAGGTGATGATGGAAAGGGTGATGAGTGAAAGTTTGGCTTGGAGGGAAATAAGGGGAACAAGTGCATTTGAAGAGGTTGGTCTCTACATGCTAAGAAAGAGACGTAGAGGGCTGTGTGTGCTTCTGCTATCCAGGCTATGAGTTGTAAATGCCTGCAGAGGGAAGAGCTGTGTGTAAGAATGGGGATAGGTGTGTACAGGTATGTAAAGAAGTGCGTGGGTGGAAGTTTAGAGTGCACTGTGTGGCGTCATCTCCACTGATACATGCTGGAATGATCTGAGCAAGGTCAATTGCTGAATGAGAGTTCAGCCTTGCAGCACTTAAGTGATCAGACTTTATATTTGCCTGCATTCAAATCTACAGAGGAGTGTTGACCTTGCCTATTGCCTTAGTTACCTCTTTGTTCTGAAAGCTATGCGAGTGCGGGTGTGAAAACTTCAAAAAAGTAGTCTGTGTCAAGCCTCAGGACAGACAAGTCTCACCATTTTGAAGTAAAATAAATCAATAAGTAAATAAAATAAAATAAAATAAAAAGTGCCTCGTAAATCTTAAAAGAGCAAAACAGAAATAAAAGATTATCTTCCTGTTTAAGTGCCCCTTTTCCATTGGTTGGCTTCACTTTTGGCTGGTTAATAATGCTGGTTTAGGTGCATGGGGTGCAAGTATATTTGATACACTCTATGCAAATGGTCCCTCTATTGTTATGCTAAGCTTGCCTCTATAGGCTAAATCTCTAAGGGACTGGCCAACCAGCACAGAGTGTGCGGCAGGTCTTCTCTCCTGTATCTACGATATGCTACACCTGCTCTTTCTGTCTGCTAATGTAAAGACCAGAGGGCTTGCCTCCTAGTACTAACAAACTCTTATGTGCAGGACTGGTGGCACCTACATGCTAACACTAAGTGCTAATGTACCATACCTCAGACTCCTCAAGGCTGTTTTAAAAAATAACATTATTCAAAAACATTAAAAACCATGAATGTAGTTCATGACAACGTTAAAATGATACATGTAAGTGTGCATGCCCAGTACCACCCCTCTAGAGGATCCCCCTTTATTAAGGGGGCTTGGAACACTGGCATCCTGCATTCGGATGGGTAAAGAGGCAGCATCGTGGTGGCAGTTAAAAAAGTTTTTTGTGATTTTTTTTTTTTTTCTCTTTTCTTATTATTCACCTATTTTCCCTCCCATCCGTATTGCATACTTACATACACAGGATTGTGAAGGTAGCGTACAATACAATTACATAATAATACCCAAGTTTTAAAAATTCAACATAAAGAGCAATAGTCCTGGTAAAGTAAAAACAATAAAATGACAATAATAATAATATTCATAACCTTTTGAGTGCATGAGGCTGTAGAGTCTGCCTGTGTTTTACAGGTGAAGGGCCTTAGGTTTTCTTGGATTTGGGTGAATGACTGGCAGGTCTGTGGAGTATGTGTGGTGGGCAGTCATTGGGAATAAGGAATGGGGATGAGGTGGTGGTGGTGGTGGGCTGTGTGCCCACTCAGGTAGAAATGAGGTGGGAGGGATCAATGGTGGTGATGGTTGGTGTAGCTCAGGCGAAGTACATGGTCCTCAGGGTGTCGTGGTGAATCTGAACTGCTTTAGCCAGCGCCTGGGGGTCCCGACCATTACTCTGACCAGACACATGGCTGCCCTCTCCACTGCGGAGAGACGACAGGAAGAGTTTTCAGAACAAATGATCAGTGATGCTTCATTGTTATTATTGCAATAAAGTCACCAATAGCGCCGGTCACAAGAATTTTTGTAACCAGAAACAGAGTCAGTTTGAGAAACTTTGTGTTATATCTTTCATAAGATAAGCACACTAACCTGTCATGTTCTTTATCCACCAGATGGTAGCGGGCACGGAAGGCCACAAGACGAGCATAGTAGGCTGGCGCAGGGATGGAGACTGAGCGGGTACAGCGCACATAAGTGTGGCACAACTGGTAAGTTAGAATCTGCAACTCATCAGCTGTGAAACGATTGTCGTCCCATAAGACGTAGTAATGAGACGGCCGGCTGGTACCCTGGACACAAAGAGAAGGCAATAACAATGAGAGAAGAAAGATATATATGCAGAAAACGGGTATGTAAAAAGCAATCAGTCTTATTATAATCTACAACTTAAATTACACTGCAAAAAGACATTCTGTTTCTATCATTACCTGTATGCCTGCATGGCTACACAGGTAGAAGTCAAACTCAAAGGGGTGAGTGATGCTGGTGTCCACTGTTGTCCCTGCAGGAATATTCCCACTCTTCCCAATCTATCAAAAGGAAACACAAGATGGCATTTATTACATATGAAAATACAAGTGAAAATAATCATGCAAGTATGATTTTTTTTTTTTTTTTTTTTTTAAAGTTTAAGAAAATAGAAAGCTTACCCTTTCAGACTTGTCAGCACAGAAGAGGCGTGTGTGGTGGCGTTTCTGCACCACAATATAGGTGATGCCTGGCTGATAGTCTTTCTCCAACTTGATACATGCATCTCTGATGGCCAGGAGCTCGTAGTGGAGAATCTAGACAAAAGAACATTGATGGTTGATGCACTAAAAAATGAACTATATCAGCTCGAGCGCTAATAAACAAAGAACTCTCATCAGTTTCAACTACCATGACGCCCGATTACCTGCGGCAACTGTCCCTCAGGAACTCCGTCTCTGTAGAAAATGATCCTGGTGGGCTTGAACCGGGTCGATTTGTAGAACTGAATGAGCAGTTCCCGCACCATGTAAGACAAATCTTCAATGATCTCCTGCCTGGGTCTCTGGACACGCACTGTGGCACAGTATCTGCTGGGATGAGCATCCATACTGCCTACCACCTGGAAGACAGGGGAGGAAGGGAGTAACAGTTGAACGGAGCACTGTCAAAAAGTGTGCTATTAGGTATTGTATATTGCTTTGCAAGACTTTTCACTTCCACGCAATAGTTGTAACATTGTTCTCCAAATTTTAAATCAGAACATCTGTCCTATTCTGCTTTAAAATTTGTTACGTAGTCTTAATTTGCTGCATTTAGAATTGTATGTTTACACAGACAAAAAAAACTAAAAAAGAAAAGAACTAAACAGTAGTAAAACGGAAAAAGTATAAAAATGAGAAATACTTGAAATAATCTGTCGTGCAGTAACAGCATTCACAGAGCAACAGTTTCATTGTCCTTTCACTGTCGTCAGTCGTTTGTACCCATGTGTATATTTATACATTAGCATCCCCTAGAGGCTTCCAGTGAGAAGCATCAGAGGCTCAAAATCCATCTTTTCTTTTTAGTCCCTCAAATCCTTACACTGCACTACAATTTTATTTTTTCACCAGTTTTCTCCTCAGACAGGAGGATCAAGACAGACCCACTCTCCTCTCCCATCCTCTCTGTGCGTGACTCAAGCGTTTGTCATAATTGCTAGGCAACAACACAGCCAACCACAGTCGAGCTGAGGTCAAGGGCGGACGACTGGCGAACGAGGGTTGACGTCATTTCCTTTTTGAACGTGAGTCAGTGATGAGCCATTTGTTTTCCTTCATCCCTCACTCCTCTCTTAGTACTTTTTTTTTTCTTTGTTCAGACCCATTTATTGTGTATCCAAGTTTAAACGAAAAGTCAGATTGACTGCAGATGTTTCTCATAAAATGGACTTTTAAATCAGGGAGTGTCTGGGCATTTACTACTGATTTTATTAAGTCGTGTTGGTGAAATGTTCTGATCAGCCAAAATTCTTCAACAGCTCTTCAAGCTAAGCTGTTGGGTAAGAGTGAGAGTACACAATATAATATATATAAATAAACAGCTACAACTAATGATTTTAATGAAAATGCCTAAATAACTTTACAGATGCCTACCACAGGGTGAGGAATTCATCTCATCTACCCAAAGAACATAATAGTACTTCCCCATTTTTACTGTGCACTCATGTTACCATAACAGTCAAACTAACTCACATATGAGCTGAATGTAATGACATTTGCTGTCGTGTTTTAATTAACTTCATCTGTGTTAGATATTAAAAAAAAAAGGTGGGGAAGTGCTTCAGCCTCAAACAAACTATTTATGCCTGAAGGATTCTTCTCTTAGCAGCGTTGCTGAGCGCCATGACCTATTACTTGATGCCACTGTCACTAAGCAACCACAACCATGTGCATTTGCTTTTCTATGACATCTTGAGGTCATTTGCATTATTTACATGTCCTTGTCGTTTTTCTGATTTGCCTATTAAAAAAAAGGAGTGCTCTTGCCAACTTAGCATCTGGACGGCCATCAGAGACACTACGCTGTGGCAATAAGTGTGTAATTTTCATATTATCTATGTACTTATAAAAAGAAAATGAAAAAGTTTTTATGGCTTTGAAAAAGTAATTAAAAAAACCAAGGTTGAAATGTCTGTGTTGGCAACCACCCACCATTCTTAAAAGGCAACTAGTCCCCCCCGATCCACCATCTGTGTATTAGAGCTGATACAGAGCTACTGTATTTGGTGCTGCTGTGTCCAACACACCCAGCAGCAGTGGACAAAACGTGGTACTGGTAGCTAAGTGCCTTAAAGGGCCAGTGTGTAACATTTAGGAGGATTTATTGACAGAAATGGATATAATATAATATTCCATATAATATTTAGCCTTTTTCTGAGCTGTATTCAAATGGTTGCAATCTACAACTTCACCACTAAATGACACTAAATCCAACACACTGGTCCTTTAAGCCAGTGGTTCTCAAACTGGGGGTCAGAACACCAACTCGATTATTCTGGGGGGTTGAGACTCTAAAAGGTTGAGAACCACTGCTTCAAGCTGCTGTTCTTCTTATTATCAACACTAATATAAATGCTGACTTAATGACTGTACTAAACAAAACAAAAAAAATATTGTTCCTAATAAAAAAAAGTTGGTCTCAAAAGCTGAATTCTCCTAATGTGTGTCTTGGTGGCAGTTTTAGAGTTATACTATAACATAACAAGAAATGAGTCTCTTTCAGCCTGTCCCCTTAGATCAAAGTCTTAATTTTCTGGCTCCAGTACCTGACATAGATAGCAATAAACCACAAACCCAAACACAGTTTTTAAAACACCCCTTCATAAACCAATGGATAATGTCAAATGTTTGTTTCAATAAACTGGACTTCATTTTCAATAATCAAGTAATCATTTAGCAATAATGAGAAATGCTCATCACAAGTTATCAGAGCCAAAAGCAATCCAGTGTCCCCCCCCACACATGGGCTTAACCTGCACGCCCTGACTTTATGTGACTCGCAGTAGTTGCACAATCCCTTCCTTTTCCTGAGATTGTATTCAAGGTCAGCTTGTGTTGCTTAGTGAAGGTGTTATGTCTGAGACTTACAGCAGTAATGGAGGGCTTCTTGCCATCTCCAGCAGGGGGGTGTGTGACATCTGCTCCCAGGAAGATAACCGGCTGCTGAAACACTGCTGACCTGAGGGAGCGATTGGAGGAGGAGATGCAAATTAAACTAGCTCATAAAGGCAGTGTGCAAGGATGCTTTTTAGGCATTGTATTATCACCACATGTTGAGATGGGTCAATATACAGTATGTAGTCAAGCTGGACTTTGTGGGCAGAACTTAAATTGTAACATGTAAATTGTTGCAACAGGAGATCAAATATACTTTTAATAAGGAGACCAAGTAAAGGACAACACTTGCATCTTAGGTGTTATTATGGCAGGAATACAATACGAGTATAAACCTATGATTTAACAGTAATATACACCATAAGGCTGCAGTCTTGTGTCTACACATGTTTATTTGTGACATTAACATTGTTAAAATTCTCACCGTTGTTGCAATGACTGTGTACAACTAATTCAAAGGCAGCCTAAACAAATGCTCACCGTTGGTGAGGGACCAGGATGTTGTTGATGCCTCCCAGCTTCACATTGATCTTGAGGCAGAGGTTGGAGAGGGTCTGAGGTGAGGTCTTCACCACGTTCTTCACCTGGACACACTGCGTGGCCATGCCCAAGAGGGTATCTCCCACGCGCTTTACCTCCGCTAAAGGGGACAGTTTGGGAATGGGACATGAAGAGCAGCACGATGCTAAAGGACTGAGGTAGCATTTGTGTGAAGTTCCATTTGTAAGCAACTACTCTTGCTGATGATGATTCAACAGCAGAATATGTCCTTAGATGGTTTTGTGGTTTGATGACAATTTTAGACACCTTTTTCTTTACAGACATAAACATAAACATATCTGAGACAACAAAGATAGCCCACCATAGACAGGAGTTTTTCCTGGCAGGATGACGATGATGAGCTGCAGTCCAGAGTAGGTGTTCTTCAGGTGTCTGAACATGGGCTCCACGCTGTCTGCTCCCTGGGCATATTTACAGAAGCATGGCTGTCCCTGAATGGGCATCCCAGCATCCTTAGAGATTTTACGCAGCTGGTCTGTGAAGTTCCTGAGAAGAAACCGGAGTAGTTGAAACAAAATTCAGCAAGCTAAAGACCAAGGTTTCTCATATTTTGTCTTGCATTGTATCCAGGCCCTATCATTGGGAAATATCATTCATTATATTATAAAGGGATAAATCACCAAAGAGATACAAAATGTAGGCTAAATATGGCATTCTGGGGGCACATTTTTTTCTCTTGCTAGCAGCTAAAGCACAAAAGCCAAAGACTAGAAAACGATTTAATTCCCCCCTAAAATGAATTTCCTCTGTTACTACTCATTAGTACTTACTTGAGCACCTCTTCTCTGCACTGTTTCTGGGGGGCAAAGCAGGCAATCGCCCACACTTTGATCTCAATGCCGTTATAAAACTGCTTCCCCCTCATGTCCCACACTCCCTGGTTGGGGGTAGCTATGGCACGGTTCTGAGGAAGAGAGGACCAGAGGAGATAAAGTTTAAACCAAATCAGGTCATATCTACAGAAATTATTTCAACTACTGTGTTAGTAAAAAATGCAACTGATGGAGTTTTGTCTTTCTAGTTCCAGACTCTCCAAAAACTGTTTTAAATAAATAAATAAATAAATGAATAAATGAATGAATGAATGAATGAATGAATTTACCCGTCCTCCATACTGCAGGATAGGGGCTGGAAGCACCCTGCCCGTCACCTCAGCCATGTCATCTTTCACCTTGATTCCAAACTCCTGGATGTACGGGTCCAGGTTGAAGTTTGCATTCTTCATCTGTGGAAGGTGAAGGACATTCATCATTATCTCACAGTAATCATAGAGTGTATAGGAATGTATCCTATTACACTTGTCGTTTCATCCGTTGTGTGACCTCCGCCCACCAGATGTCTCTAAAACTCACCAGCCTGCTGATCTCCTCTTGTCTGTCGGGTGCGGAGCGAGCTGTGGCTTTGATCATAGTGGAGGTCTGATTATCAGTCAGTTTCTTGATGCATCGTTGACCTGCTACAATGTTACACACCTGGAACGAGTAAATCCACAGTCACTGGGTGGTAAACATTGGTTTTTCACATGCACTAGGTCCTGTATGTATCTCAAACAGTCACTGTACATGGTGTTGTTAGATATCAACACTTTTAATTGGTTCAGTCTTTGAATTAACTCAGTTATTGTATCCCAGTTAGATCGTCCCTGTACTCTTCCTCACCTCCAGGGGCAGGTAGGTGTGCTTCTGCTCCTGTCCCACCTGTAGACAGGGTAGGTGGGGGTATTTTAGCTGCAGGTTGTACTTCTGCTTGAAGTACTGGGCCACTGTACATTCTACTGTCTGCCCACTTTCGAGCTGGAGGGGAAACCTGGTAGAAAAGACAAGACACGTGAACTTTTGTATGATAAAAAGGATGGTAAAAGGATGAGGAAGTTGCCTTTGTTGTTATGTTTTCCAAAAATGTTTGAGTCGATGCGCCCCTGCATGGTCATGAGTGTGTGGCACATGAGTGAATGTCATCATCATCACAATGAATCACTGGCCACCTCCTGATCTGCTGAGTCATGCAGGTTGATGTTAAAATGTTAAATGTTAATAGTAATGACAATCACAAGTATTGTATTAAACAGGTGGTTAAACAGAACGTTTGTTTCCATTTTTTAACCAAACGTCTAATCTGTGAAACAATTTACCAAATAGTATTTCAACATTTCTAAATAAATAATTTTAGATGAAATACTGATACTAATACTTGTTTATATAAGAGGACCTTTTGTTACAAAATAATGGTGCGTTTCCAACATACAAACTTTCCCAAGGGGCCGGGAATCTTTTGAGGAAGTCAGGACCTAGCTTTCAGCTAGGGATTATTATAGTTCCTCTAGGAGTATTGCCAAAAATGACTCAGATAATGAGAGACAGAGGTCGAGGGGGCTAGTGAGTGGATGAGAAAAAGGGAGTGGCAGTGAAGAAACATTGAGTGTGAACAAGGGAGACAAAATGTTTAAGAAAAATAAATAACCATGAAACACTGTCTCCTTTTCATTCATTTATTTAACCGTCAGAATCATGGAACAGTAACGACAGAAAAGAACAGGGTGAATCTTATTGTTTCCTCATGTATGAAAAATGGATTTCAAACTCCACCACAGTTTTATAATCCGTCACAGATATAATTTGCCTCATCTTCGCTGTTCTTCAGATGCAGAGGAAACCCAAACTGGAATGTGCAAAGGGGAATTTCTTTCCTGTGGCTCTTTAATACCACTCTCTGCACTATTTGGTTGAAATTAGCTATTAAACTATCTCAATGGCAAACAAAATTATCTAATTCCATATGAGAAATTTGTCCATAGCCGTCATACATGTGGTTGGTTGCTTATTGTAAGTCACTTACAAAAGCATCTACCGTATGAATCTAAAACAATGCAATTCAATGCTGTCTGCATACTTACGTCTGGTGGCTGGCGGGTCGTCGGGTGACATTGCATACACGGTATTTCCTCTTCATTTGGCCACAGTGGGTCACCTCCACTTTCAGGCCTGGTAATGCCGTCAATAAATGGGGTACACAAGCATTAAGACAAACAGAAAGACAAAGACAGACATTATCACTACAAGCAAATTCAATTAAAAGAGCTTCTTGTGAAATAACAACGCAACACAAGTAAGTTAAAAAGGAAATGTCACTGATAAAAAGTGGCAGTTACTTATGAATAAGGTCTTGGAAGGGTTTTGAAATGTATCTACCAGGTGTAAAGTGATGAAATAATCTTTAGATGGGCCATGAAGGCGTATATTTATTTTCTTGCTGAAGGCTTACGACGGTGTGTTTGGAAGACACTTCCTCACTGGCCAGCAGCTCACCTTTAATCTCCTTGGTGAAGCGGACCCTTTGCGAGTCAGTGAGAGTCTTGGGCTGCTCATCGATATTGCGAATGTCCAAAACCTCACACATGAACTCAATTACAGGCTGGGCTTTGTAGAAGGCCGTAGCGGACACTAGAGGGAGACAGAGAGCAATAAGTCCATAGAAGAGCAACAAAAAGGTACATAGATGTCCAAATTTTTTATGAGCCTTGACATCGCCAGTGAAGGCATTTATCAAAGCCAAATTAATGTTAAAATAAAAAAGGTCAAATTAAAGCAGCCAACAGAAAGGAGAGCAGGTGGATATATTTATGATATCATTATTATAAATCGTGATTGGTGGTTCAAATCCTCTTTGGTCCTGGAGTCAATTTTACTTATCAGCATTTGTTTCTGCCCAGTCATGCAAAGTCAGTAAAAAGCAATGAGATCACTGACTGACTGTGCACACTCTGATAGAAAGGTCTTCAGTGACTCACCATCAATGTTAAGCATCATCTTCCACATGGCGGGGCGCACAGACTGGTGGAAGCCAAACCAGACTTCCCTCCCCCCACCCAGTGGGTGGTAGTAGCCTTCAGGTGGGGAGAAAAATGAACGGCCCACTGGAGTGTACCTAATTGGAGGAGGTGGGAAGGTGAAAATGATGAATGTGCAAAATGACTAAACTGAATTAAAAGCATGACCTCAGCGTGACTTCATGTCCAGTAAAGTTGTCGTCTCATGTAGGAAGTTTCAGAATAAGACAACTCTTTGTATTCTACCATTAGAAAAAACAAGAAAACTTGAATGGAAAAACACCAAAATGGGAGTTATAAGAAAGAGAGCTTTTTCTGAAAGAGATGGGGAAACATGATCACTGAACTGACTACTTTTTCCACAAACATCTCTGGCTTAAGGACTTTCTGACCATTTTCAGGTCAAGTCCTCAAGCAAGTTTATTATTCCCCTTCTCAGCATTATTCGGTGGACACTTTCACACAGGTCTCAGCTAACAAGCATCTTTTGTTTAGTGACTCTGAACCCTGGAGCTATGGATGGTTTAATGCAAGTGAATGGAACAACCGACCTCGCGAGGCTGCACGGGTATAATGTCAACAAAAAAAAATAACTTGGCAAAAACACGACTTTCCATTCTCCTTTTAAGACGCACAGGTATACAACTCTCAGAGAATTTGACAGGAGCAGTGATTTTGCAGTGTGTGTGTGTGTGTGTGTGTGTGTGTGTGTGTGTGTGTGTGTCTGTGTCTGGTATAACTAAGAGAAGGGGTTATTATGGTGTACCTCATAGAGGCCAGGTGGCGCATGGCCACATCCAGGGCTTGAACCGAGTCGAGGGGGACCTGCAGACGGCCGCTGACCAGAGTCTCCTGCAGCAGGCGCCATGACACCTTGGCCAGCCAACGGATGGACACCTTGAAGATTCGGTCCTTACCCTCACCTGGGATGGTTACCTCAAAATCCACCTAGAGAAATAGAGGACAGAAAGGACAGAAAAGGAGAGGAGAGGTAAAGAACAAGGTGGGAAACCCTACTTGATACAGGATTTGTTATTCAAGAAGGTACTTCAAATTACAGAAGAAACACCTTGCCTACCACACATCACCTACAATGAGCATGCATGCTTTTGATTTTTGACTACCCACAGTCTTGCCATCACCGTGAGGTTGCCACATGACCAGTGGAGACCCCTTTGGACAGAGCCAGGCTAGCTATCTCCCCATTTCCAGTATTTATTCTAATGTTAGCAAACTGGCTGATAAAAGAATGGTGCTGATTTTTGTGTCTAACTCTAAGCGAGAAAATGTCAAATTATTTTTAAGATACACGCATATATTAAACCTAGAAGTCTCCAACCAGACAGTAAAAGTGTTCCATAAAAGTGTTTGTGAACACTGGGATAGACATATTTTATGAAACATAATAAAGATAGAGATAAAAACATAAAATATTGCCTGCTTTTCTGTGTTTTTTCTTCCCTAGAGAAATAGCGTAATTTGGGGCTTATGGTTGACTTTATTGTTCCCTGTTAAGAAAATAATTGCTGATTATGACAGGGTGTAACAGTGTAAGGCATAACCACTTCAAACATCTACCTTCTCACTCCCAATAGGAAGTGCTAGCACCGTGTAGATGTTCTTTTTCCCGTCATACACTGGCTTCCTGTCGCCAAAGAGCTGGGGCTTGAAGTGTTGCACCATGTATTCCACCACCTCCCTGTAGGAAGCACACGCAAAAACACAATATGGGATTAACATGCGCCAGGAACAGAAGGAAAGACCCTCCTCTACCAATTAAACCCATCTCCTGATCAGAATGCTCTATTGTGATCAGAAGGGGGAAGTGGCTCTCGAGATGATAGAATATTGATCAAGCAGGATACAGCTGCTGGGTGCAATATTTCATGGTCACAGGGGGAGAGGCGAGGACAAAAAGAGTGAGGGTGTGGGCGGGGGGCCACCTTTCAATGCACGGTGCCTTGGCCTTCATACAAGAGTGGGGGATGAGGATTTGTTCTGAAAAGAAAAAGGTCAAAGGGCTTGACCTTTGCATGCCTTCTTGGAACCTTTGTCTCGAACCCTAAAAGCAAAAAAGGCCGATGTTCAGAGACCCTCTCTGAATGTTAGAGATGGGGGTACTAATGCATGCAATTTTCAAGGATTCTTCTATAATATTTCTGAGCAAACAACTCTCAACTGTCTAATTACAAATAGATTACTGATTTCTTTATTTGTTTCTGTTTACATCCTTAATTAGGAAGACAACAAAAGCTTAAGGACTCTCCTAGAGTGCTCTCTAGACAACCTTGTCTTTCTGCTGAGATCAGAAATAGAAGATTGTTTGATTAATCATTAATATGAGCACACTAGTGTTGGGTTCAAGCTATTTGAATAAAGAAGAAATATATAATTATATGTAATTATATGTATTATATGTAATTTGTATATAAGTTATTCCTTCAAGAAAATGAATTTGATGGTCTTGAGAAAACATGTAAAAACAAACAGTTAATTCATTCAGACTGCACAAATAACATTGTTAACAATAATGGCTGCCTGATGATATAATGGACACACAATAAATATGAATGTTTTCTAGATTGAAAGACAGTTACACCGTATCTTTCTAAACGATTACTGATGATTACCCAGAGGCTCAAGGCTATTAGTAAGCCATACTGTAAGAGAGACAGATCGGGCTAGTGCCAGGAAACTGACAAGAAACAATGTTAGCCTATATATATATATATATATATATATACACATATATTTTATATTCCTGCTTATAGCCTGTCCCTGATACCTGACACATGACTCCACACAAAAGGACAACTGTGGGACGTGATAGCCAATCATATCCACTAAGGTTGTAGTCCGGAATGGAAAGCCGAGTAGGGAAAGGGGGCAAAAAAATGGCACTCATGCCATTATAGAAAGATAAAACATGGTGACACATATGTATGTGTGGCGTGTTGCCATTTCCCCTCAAAGGCAGACAAGACAGTCCTTTTTTTTTTTTTTAAAGGAACTGCCTCTCTGGAGAGCCATGACAAAAGTCAGCAAGATGGACAGACAGCACAATCCCCTCCCTGAATTTCATAATTTATGTTTATGTGCAGTTTGATGCTTGGATTATAGTAATAAACGTGACAAATCACAATCATGGCAGCTCTTTTTTGTTTCCAATTCGTCACAGCTGAAAAGAGTATCTGGATGGGGCCACTATAAACTGTCTAGGGACTAATAGCTCCTTTAAAAAAAAAAGTATTGAATGAAACACATAGCAACTCACACAGCAATCCATATTAGCCTGTATATTTATTGAGTGAACCAAATGAGGACTCTTCACTCTCTTCACCATTAACAGAATACTGATGAATTACCTTTTTTGCAAGCTTTTAAATGCAGGCAATAGATGCCTATTTCGGCTCCTGAATGATAGACTGGCATTTATTCTATCCAATAATATCTTCAGGATGCTCCCTCATATTAGTGACTGCATCTAATTGACACAACCAATTTTATTTAACCTGCATTAGACAGCGAATGGTTCAACCATCCAATAAAAAGGGCTTCTTCAAGCACGTATAAACACCAGCCAAGGTGAAAGGGTCAGTTAAGTTAGATTCACTTTTGACTCCACCATCTGTCCGGTCCAGTCACTCTAGCACAGCTACTGCGGAGAGGGAAGGCCTCCTATTGCTTAATGTGATCTGAAAGTCATGCATACTTAGTGTTCGGTTTTTGTCTGATTATGCACAGATTCTGGGACTTTTCTCACATAGCTTTTTGCTCTTCGAGGCCTGACGAGGAGTCACACTAGGTATTATTTTCACAGAGGCACTGCTTTCAATATAAAGCCACAGAATTAGGTAATCTGAAGTTTGGAAAATATGTTTCATCGGCTGAAAATATCAGAAGCAGGTCATGAGGTTCAGGTTTTTTGCCTCTTAATTGAGAAATATGTAACTAAATGTCAACTTATACTGCATCCCAATCAAATATCTGTTCTCTTAGGTAACAGCACTGCATGCTGCAATCATAAAGCATGGTAAAATTTGTAAAAACCAATCTAGGTATGGCATATTTTTTATTATTTCCCCCCACACAGAAACACGGCAATCAACCAGTAAAAATAAATAAATAGTTGTTGCAAAGAATTGCATTTAAATTTCAGCAGCATTGTTCAAAGTGACTGTTACTGCTGCCTCCTGAAAGACAACACAGTGATTACAAGTGACTGTTGGGGCTTTCATTACCCAATTTCAAACTGTTCCACAGTGCAGACATTTCAGCTGCTGGTTGACTTCTTAAAGTGCTTGCTGTGCTGCCACACATTAATAACCATTTATGACACATGACAACTGACAAGTACTGATGCTTCAGATTAATTCGGGACATCACAGACAAGAAATACAAGGCACGCTGTGACTGTTATCAGATGAAGATGTAACCACAGTCTTTACATCTTATTACCTGTTGACTCTCCGTGGGCACTTGTCGGGCTTAATGTCCACCTCATAGTGATAGACGTCCATCTTTGGGATCTCCACCTCGAAGTAGTTGGCCAGCAGCTTGATGGGCTTGCCCACGGTACCCATGCCTGGCCGGCGGGGGGGCATGGAACACCTGCTGCAGGGGTGGGGGGAAGGCCCCCATGGGCACTGGACAGACAGCGGATAGGGAGCCATCGACAAGGACAGGTGACAGAGGGGAGGAGGTTCAGAGCAAAGAGGGTAGGAATGAAGAAAAAGGATGTACAAAAAGAGCGGGAACGGAAAAAGGAGAGGTCAAAGCAAAGGAAGGGCAGAGGAAAAGCAGGCACACAAGAGATGAACAACAGTTAAGTGGGGAGGTGGCAAAGGAAGTGGTTGTGAGCAGCAGAGGACAGGGCAAAAAGGGCAAGAAATGTGGGTTAAAATCGGGAAGGAAGCGTAGGCAGAGGCCAAGAGGACATGATGGGTGGAAACCAAAGTAAGGGGCAGAAACAGGAAGATGGTAACAGGGAGAGGGAAGATAGGAAAAGAGAGAAACAAAGAGAATGGAACAGTTTAGAAGCAAAATGGGGCATATGGGGCCAGGGAAGGGGAGAGAATAGGTTATATATGTGGTAAGATAAAGGGTGATGGAGGAGGATATTGACAAGGCATAAAGAAGAGGAGAATGAACAACCGGATTAGGTCAAATGAGGATGAACAAGGGAGAGAAGGGGAGAAGGGGGGGGAGAGAAATTATGGTGGAGGAAGAAAAGGAATAGATTAGAAAAAAATACTTCTTTATGTAGCAAAGTGTAGTGGAGATGTTTGTAATTCAGCTCCCATTCATTTATCAAATGAAGTTCAGTTGGGTTTCTGACACACCCCTCCTAAACAGATCACCAACAATTATAATAATAACAGATTGATGGTTTAAGCCATTTATCAAACATCTGCTGGTTCCAGCTTTTAAAATAATAACTACTTGCAGCATTAGACATAGATTGCACTTTTAAAACTAGCCCAATTTCTGAAAATGTATTCGTCCAACACAAACATATGCAACTTATTACGAAGAATACAACTTAAACCTCACCGATTAGGGACTATCGGTGACCACGCTAGCATCATGTCTGAAAAAACAAGTCTGAGCCAGTCAGGAGGGCTAATACAGAGGGGCTCCTAGACTGGGTGCTAAATGTGAGGCTAGCTGTGACTCCTGCCTGAGAGGGGCCCAGTGCCTTAACCTCTGGGTCCCCAGAGACCAGTCCTCCTCCACCATAACAAAGACCCCAGCTGCCCCGCTCCTCCGTCTCACACTCACACACAAATACACGGGTGTATGACAGAGGGAGCGCCCTTGCTACGGCGAACACAACACTCATACACACAAACACAGGGGGCCCCCTCTACATTCCCAGCCTCACCATGGAGACACCACGGCAACACAGTATTGTCATGGATATCAGGGGACCACTGTGTGTGTGTGTGTGTGTGTGTGTGAGTTTTTGTGTGTGTGTGTAGGGCTGTTGGAGGAGACGGGAGGAGGCAGGGTGCCGCTGTGGTCATGCTGAAGAGACCTTGGCCTTTTTGGTCCTGCACTGAGCATGTTCCCACATTGGGCCAAGGCGCCTGTGTCTCCCAAACTGGAAAAGCCATGCTTTATGTAGCTGCTTTGGAAATCCTTGGGTCAAGCATGCCACTCAATCATATGTTCACTAAGCCTTCAGATGACGGGAAGAGTAACATTAGCCATAAAACACAGAAACATGCTCTAATTAGAGCGTGTGTGTGTGTGTGTGTGTGTGTGTGTGTGTGTGTGTGTGTGTGTGTGTATCTAGGTGTAAAATCACACTTCTCTACAACACATCTGACAAACACCATAAACACAGACACCAGACATGTGTTGACTACACATACTCCACACATATGTGCAAGGAAGCATGTATGAGGGAATACGTGAGCGTCTACACTGCGTTGTGATTGTTGCACACTCACACAATGACACACACTTCGCCCTCGTGCCAGTGAAGGCAGATGGTGAGAAGCGGAGCCAGCGCTCTCACATATCCCGAGACAATAGCGGTCCTTCCCTGGCGGTAAGACTTAAAGCAGAGCTTTGGTGCTGCATCACAACACGAAGACACTCACTGCTTACTGTCTGTACAATGACGTAACAAAGCAATAAGCCCAAGTCACATGGGAATGACTATTTTAAAGTTATATCTGGGAGAACATGTACGTTTTTGTGCTCTTTTGGTTCATTAATGGCTTTGGCTGTGGATTCAAGGCAAGTACACACTGAAACAGAAAAATATATGACAATGAAATGAGCATTTAAAATCTCACAATGATGAACGGTAGTGGATGTTTACTAGGAGACCCCTTCCCTCATCAGGAGATCACAGAAGACCAAGTACATGAATGAGAAGGAACAGCCAATTATGCATCAATTGTTTTGGCCAAACTAGTTGGCTCTCTGAATAATTGGCTGTTGACCATGAGCTAAACATGGCAATCAGCTCAATCTTGGAAAATAGCACATTGAATAATCACACTTCAAAACACAAAAGCAGACTTTGAGATGAGGGGCCCCGGGGGGCCCTTCACCCATCCTTAAAAAATAAAAACAAAGCCTATTCAACTGACTTCAACAATGCGTTATCTAGATTGACAATGCAATTTCAACCTCAGGCCTGCGTGAAAATAAAAACAGCCTGAATATATCCAAAGAGGATTCAGAGGTGGTTAGTATGATCTATTCACAAGGCCGCCACCTTAAAACAAACAGCATTCAATTAATAAACGCTGCCTTACAAAGGTACAAAACGGGCTCAGTGCTGGATTATAAATGCCATGGTTCAAGATTTTCCACAATAGGTGGACTTCAGACCTGGGCACAAAGTCAAACACTACATAGTTTGTGTTTTAATTGGCTGCCTCCATATCTCAGTATCATCCACGAAGCCTGCCAGACAAAGATCATCACTGGCTGTAAATCTGAAAGTGAAGCATGCACAGCAAAAGCCCCCCCCATACACATGCAATGCAATGCACAATGAACTCTTCCCAGGTCTAAAAAAAAACAGGCTTATGTCAACTCTAAAAGCAGATATAACAATTATGGATTATTTTTGGTTCCACATGAATAAATAATTCGTTTGTCTCTGCAGATGTTAGGCCTGTGTCCCTCATGTGCGCATGTAAGGTATAGGTGTTAAACACTCTCCAGACAACCTGAACAGAGTGAGTAAGCTGCCAGTGAAAGGGGAAACGGGTCTGCTGTGTGTGGGGTGTGTGTGGGGTGCAGCCAGCTGCTGCTGCTGCTGCTGCTGCTGCTGCTTGAAGGCGGGCTTCACCTCGTCCCTCCTCACCGAGATTCCCACGACCTCCCTGCCCCCGCGCATGGCTGAGGATATTGTCAGTGCCCCAAAAGGCTTGTCTGCAGCTATAAATCTGGATAAATAATAACGCTCCGTGCAAAAGTGCTGTGCATTCAGACTGCAAGACTTCCAATCTCCCACACTCTCTCTTGTGTAAACGTTGCGATGCAACAGACAGGGTTGTCACCAAGCCTCCTTGTGCATCCCCCCCTGACTGCTAAAAGGCCAGACTACAAGTGCCCCGTTTTTTTTGCAGTCTATATATGCAGCCATAACTCGGGTATCCTGGTTGATAGCATGTTAAAGCACTAAAGTAAAAAAATAAACCTACCAGCGCCAGACGGTCCCGGCTCCATCCCATTCACTTAGCAGAGCGGGTACAAGCTAGCTAGTCCGGGGTGCTGTGGCCAAACCGCCGGCCCCTTCAGGCTGGAAGCGTCTCAGACCTCCAGCCCCCTCCTCTCGGCGTGCAGTCTTCTCCTTTTCTCGGTGTACCCCCGCCCCCTGCCCCTACCTAGAACCCCCAGACCCGCAGAGGAGTTAAGGGCTAACGGCGGATAGCTGCCCGTTGACCCTGGAGCCAGTAGCCGCGGAGCTGGAGGGAGATACCGCCTTAATTCTGACCGCTCTTCCTTCGCGGGGCAGTGTGGTCCCTCCCGGGCGCCGTGATTCCGCCGATTGTCCGCGGCGCTGTGATTTCTCGTCGGTCTGTGGTGCTCCTGCTCACCGTTCAGGCAGGATTCTCCAGCGGAACAAAAAAAGGCCAGCCCCTCACCCCCCAAAAAATCCGAAACTTCTTCTTTGTCATTAAAAAAAGTGCGAGGGAACTGTTGATGAACTTGCTGTCACACCCCAGAGGCCGAAGGAGGTACTGCACTGCAGATATGCAAATATGGACGAGTGTCAGGGGGGGAAAGATTCACTGTTATGACCTATTTTATTGACCACATTTTTATAAATAAACAACATATTATGGAAGTAATAATTATATAAATATAACTGCACACAAAATATGTAACCATACAATTGTGAAACAATTCAGAATATTTTAAAACGTGTAACATAAAAAGTTATGATGATTAAATTATTTAGTTTATTATGTTGCAGTTATCTTCCCTCTCAAAGTTTAAATTCAGGCATAAAACTTCAAATCAACTTTTTGTAGCTAGTTGTTGTTTCATTTATTTTATTGATCACTGTTCTCACCTCACATCATTTAATGCATAATGATTTTTTTGTCTGTTTCGTTACTTTTTCCAAATAAATAAACAAAACTTTTGTTTTTAGACCCAAGCACAGTGCCCTTGACGTCCAGAGGTGGTAATCTGATTATCTTCACTGTCTGCATTGTCACCTCTTCCCCAAAGCTCTACTGGTCCCATCCTTTTCTCCGTCTATATGCTGTACTGTAAAATCACATTATCCAAAAACACAACCTCTCTTTTTGTTGTCATGCTAATGACACTTGTTATTGATGTGATTATTCTACCCCTAGGACTTAATCACAACAAACTAATAAACCTCAATAACTGTCTCCAGTACATCAAATCCTGGATGGTTGAGAACTGGCTCTAGTTTAACAAGAATAAATCTGAAGTTATGCATTTTACTAATCTCCCTTCTTACGTCTCGCCCGGGTGTGGTGTTCACTTCTGTAAAATCATGTAAAAAATGATGTTGTTGGAAAAAGAATTTACTTTATTTTACTTGATTAACTGATTAGTTGTTTGGTCTCGGAAACTGATAAATGTCAATCACAGTTTCATAAAGCCCAAGTTGAAAACAACATTTCGTCCATAGTACAAAGATTAGAAATGTATCCGAGAAGCTGAAACTGGAGAATGTTTTTTAGTTTTGCTTAAAAATGTACATCAATGTTTAATTGATTATCAAAATAGTTGCTGATTAATTTTTCTATCAATCCTTCTATTGTGTAACCATTTCAGCACTATTTCATGTTTTTTATTTAATGTCAAATTTATTTATTTAAGTTTGTACAGTAAACATTTACTGTAAATTCATCTGCACACATTATTTATATATATTTTATTTTTGTTTTTCCATTTAAACTGCATGATATGAAAACCAAATGCTAGGTGGGTTTACAAATACATTACATTGTATGGCAGGATGGCAGTGGTGGAAAGTAGACAAGTACAGCAACTCAAGTCTGTGAGAGTAGTACTTCCATTTTTATGCTACATTATACTTTAAGATTACAACATAGACAAAATGAAATATTGTACAAAAAAGAATGACACAAAAATATACAATCACTAAAAATATGATTTATTGTTGTTGTTGTTATTAATATATAACTCTGCCTCAGCCTTAACTAACTAACAGCAAAATTCTACTTGGACATTAATGCATCTGTAATTAATAATAATGCAGTAATATAATGCATAATAATATAACACAAACAGGACCAGTTTTTCTGCTTTATACATATTTTTACTATTGGTGATTTAAGTACATTTTACAGACACGTATGTACTACTGTACTTTTACACGAGGAAGATTTTAAATCTTCTACTTGTCTACATTTTTTTATGCTGTGGTAAGATAAGATAAGATAAGATAAGATAAGATAAGATAAGATAAGATAAGATAAGATAAGATGTTCCTTTATTGATCCCCCGTCGGAGAAATTCAAATTAGACACAGCAGCACAGGGGAATGTAGTGCAAAAAGTAAAGAAGTGTACAAGTAGGGGAGACCGGGGCTTGTTGTCACATGGGTAAGTTGTCACATTGCGATTATTTTCTCCACCAAGGGGCGCAACTAAAAAGTGGAATACTAGTTTTCTTCCTTTACATGGTCAGGTGTCATGTCCTGTCTCAGAAGAGGATAAGCACATTGTGAGCTGAGATGAGCACCAAGTAACCATTTTGCACAACCCAAAGTAAAAAATATCAACTTTATATATTTCGTTCAGATAAAAATCCTAACAGTGATACATGTGGACTTGTTCGAGGAGAGATTAAGGCATCCTGTCATACCTCAGTCATTGTTCTGTTTTAAGCGAACTTTAAGATAGAGCTAGTGTTAGCAAACATGGTAGTTTGAGGCAACATGTCTCAGTCATTTTGGGGTTTAATTGTCACACGCATATTTTGATGAAAATGCACTGCATGTATTGACTTGCAATTTTTTAACCCTATTATTATAGTGCATTATTATATTATGCACTATTATAATAATATTATGCAATATAACAATAATATGATATATAATATAATACAATGTTATGCAAAGGATGGGCCCATGAAGAATGCACCCATGGTAAATCAGTCTACGTTTACCAGAACTGCGATGCGGATGATGAGTCTGACTAGTGAGGAAATTAGTTTGTCAGGTTTTGTTTGAGTTTTTATGAATGGATCTTCCAGTTGTTGTTGTTGTTGTTGTTGTTGGAACTATGTCCACATTTCAGGACTGGTTTAAGTTTGATAATGAACCAATGCTTTCTTTTTTTTTTTTTTGTGATTCAGTTCAATCTGGAATTTTGAGTTTAAGAAAGGTAGAACAGGCATTTGAGCCTGAGAGCCATAGCCTACGTGCCAGCAGTTCCTAAGGACTTTAACCCTTTGCATGTTGCATAATATTTTATGTTAACGTTTGTTCAATGACCTTTGGTCTTTCATCTGGTACACTTTTTTTATTTTATTTATTTATATGATGTATTGATTCCAAGAAATATATAAGAGTGTAAAAAGTGTGACAACAAGCCCCAGTCTCCCCTACAATAAGAATCATGAAAAAAATAAGAATTTATTAAATATAATGAAAAATATATACACTATATGCAATATATATATATATAAAACGTTACTTTTACTTCAGTAAATATTGAGAAGATCACGGCATTAGTGACACTGACCTTTATTTAGGCTATTAGTGTCATTTATTATCAAATAACGGACTCAAATCTGTCTACGCAGAGTCCGTCCAATATAATATCAATCAGCGCCATTAAATAATAATAACAACAATAATAATAATAATAATAATAATAATCATAATAATAATAATAATAATAATAATAATAATAATAACAATAATAATCATAATCATAATAATAATAATCATAATAATATTTTATTGTTTTTATTTTTATTTTTATTATCCTGTCAACGGTCGCATCCACATACTTTTAAAATCTACCAGCCACCTGACAGGAAGTCGTCACCCTACGCACACGTCACTTTACTCCAACGCGGAAGAGCTCGTCATCGTAAAAGCTGTGAGTTGGAAGCTCTGTGAGATGAGATAAAATTGGAGTAATTTCTCGAGCAGGGCGCCGTGTCGTTGGATAGTTTGAATGAGTGAAGCGGTTTCCATTAGGAGTAGATGTTTTCTGGACGATGTTGTCGCTAGGTTTGTGCTTTTAAAGCCTCGTGAGCCAGGCTGGCAGTTAACCGAAGACAATCAATCAATCAATCAATCACTGACTGCACAGAAGATGTTTTCTTTTGAATGACACGTTAATGAGACATTCTCGTTGTATCTTCGGTAAACGGGGTTATTTTTCGGTCTGGTGTACGCTTGGTTATAAGGTGAACAGAAATAAAAACCCGTTTGAATCACTTGTTTTTCTTTTAGACCGGGCGCAGTCTGAAAATGTCGTGGATAAGGGAAGGTGAATTAAACCTGCTTGAAAAGATTTCGGCCAATATCTTGAAGGTAAGCCCGTTAAATCTTTTATGTTCTCATGTTATAGATGCCGGGTGTTGTCTAGCCCCCCCCCACACACACACACACACACAGTTAGTGGCTATCATGTCTTGCCAACATTTGAGTCACAGAGCTGCAGTTTTAAGAGTCATTGAACACTAAACGTTTCCAGACACCTTTTTAAAGACTCTTTTAACCACCTAGACAGTGAAAAATATGTTAAACTAATGTCTCAAGTTGCACCAGTATTTATCCAAACCTGCACAAAGATAGCTGGAAATGACCTGAACCACCAGAAATGTTCTTACTATCAATTATATTTCTCCATATAATGATGTTACATTGTATTGTTTGATATTTTTATTTACAGTTATGTGTTGAATATTTGTCTTGGGTTGTACAAAACAAGTAAGGTATGATTTTTGGCTTTCCTGGATTTGAAATATACCAGAAGTTGCACCTTGAGAAATGAGTTAAAAATCTTCATCGTCACACTGCCTGATGGAAATGTGCTTTTCATCCAGATAGTCAGAACAGTCTTGAAGGATCCTGGAAATACCTCCAGAGCAGTGTTAAGTGTTTTTAAAGATTGCTTGCTTGCTTTTTTTCATCGATGAATCGTTTAGTCGGTAAAATGACTGTTGCCCAGAGCCAGAGTTTATGTCTTTAAAAAGCTTGTTTGTTTATTGATTATCACAATTGTTGTCTTATTACTTTATTTTGAGTAGACTAGTCGTTTCAGGTTTCTTGACTTAATGTCTCATATAAGGCGAATCTCTCCTGAATCCCCTGATCTGTGTCCCACAGGCTGGACCCATGCCTAAACATGTGGCCTTCATCATGGATGGTAACCGTCGTTTTGCACGTAAGAAACACATGGAGCGCCAGGAAGGGCACATGCAGGGCTTCAACAAGCTGGCAGAGGTGAGGTGGCTTTGGGATTTAAGCTTGTCTTCTCAAACACACGTCCGCTGGGCATAAAATAGGTTGCCCGTGTATGTGCGTAACCCTGTTGTTCCTTCCACACTAGACATTACGTTGGTGTAAGCATCTGAACATCCAAGAGGTTACAGTGTACGCCTTCAGCATCGAGAACTTCAAGCGCACTCAAGACGAGGTGGATGGGCTGATGGAGCTG